TAGAGTGAAACCTACTAACAGACAGATGGATTCAACCTGCTTTTTATAGCAAGGTTAACCTCCCACTTATATGGAAGTGTGTATAGTTCCGTTAAATTAACAAAACTAGGTGAGCAACCAAAACAGACATAATTAATGACAGTAATTGGAATCCGGCAGCCGAAACTGTGGAAATATAAATCCGCAACTTCTGCATGAGTAATTGTCAGTCATGAAAACAAAATATTGCTATACCTGATTTGGTCTGCAGTCAATTGGTTTGATATTAAGATTTTGCTCATGAAGGCACATGTGAATGTCTCGAGGCAGGACACTCGTCAGTTTTTCGACTTTATCCAAAGTCGGGGTCAGAGTAGAGGCAACTATATAGCTCTACTTATTGTCTAGATATCGGTCAATTGTTGAAGAAGACCGTAAAGTTGCTGACTCGTTGATTATTTTGAGTTCCCTTTGATTAATAACGCCCAAACCAAATCAATGAAAAAAATGAGATGCATAAATACATAGAAGATTTAAGCGCTGTATGACCAAATGGGCGTTGACTGTGTTCAGACCGTCAGTTTTATCTTTTTAAATGTAACACATTGCAACACACTGTGAAGCTATTCCGGTCCAAGCATAAGATTTAAATAAAAAATGTCATTTTTATTTAACAGTTAGGCATTCAATAAAAAAGAATATAGGTACTGCGTAAGTTCTGTTGTTAGAGGTTACTAAATCTAATTCTATATAGAAAGCTGACACAACAGTGTCACTGAATATATAACATATTAAACTGTAATTTGTAATCTATACATTTTTAAACATTTCGACGGATGTTTTATCAGTTTTGCGTTCAGTGGTATTTCATTAGCACATTTTATAGGTTTTTTTACTGATCCATAGGACATTTGTGAGCTGTTTTTATTACTTGGTACATCGTTGACTATTAATGTTTTCAACAGTCTTTTTTGTTGTTACTACGTACCCTGCCAGAATACCGTATCATGAGTTCACCCCTAGTGTGTGGCGTTTTTATTTTGATCATGGTATTGACTGTTGGAATTTTTTCCAAGTGGTCCACGTTTTAAGTAAAGATCGACGAATCTTCAGACCAGTACTGCAGCTTTAAAATAAAACGAAGTACAATGGATAAAGATCAGTGAAAGATTTAAAAACTTCTGAAAAATATGTATGGCACATATTTCCTCCATCTTATATAAAAGGTAATGGTATCGGCCAATAGATATACTATGTCAAAATGCTTCTGGTGTTGAAATACATTTTTGTAATGCACAAATATCGATTTTGTCAGTAACAAATTAAAACATAACTAAATTTGTATCCTTTTCGAATGGTCTTTTGGGTGTATAAATAAACATCCACGTTCAATTTCTATATAGGGATTGCTTTATCTATATGTAACATTATACATATTTATTATAAGGTTAAATCCAAACTATCCTACTTTGGTTTGGTACCATTAAAACGTTTAAACCCGCTGCATTTGTTTGCACCTGTCATGTGTCAGGAATCTGATGTTCAGTAGTTGTCGTTTGTTGATGTGGTTCATAAGTGTTTCTCGTTTCTCGTTTTTTATATAGATTAGACCGTTGGTTTTCCCGTTTGAATGGTTTTACACTAGTAATTTTTTGGGGCCTTTTATAGCTTACTGTTCGGTGTGAGCCAAGGCTCCGTGTTGAAGACCGTACTGTGACCTATAATGGTTTACTTTTATAAATTTTTACTTGGATGGAGAGTTGTCTCATTGGCACTCATACCACATCTTCTTATATCTATATCCTACTGCCTGTCGATACTTTTATTTTGGCATTGCACAAGTCATATCTTCCATGGCGTTAAAACACTAAATCCCTGGGATGTGTTTTAGCTGATTTTAGTCTCTGATGCATGATTTTTTATTATAAATCGTACTTTCGTGTTAATTTGACCTGTTACACAATTTGTACTGCATTTTTGTTATTCAAAGTTTACTGATTTTGTGTTATATCTCACTATTTTTAATATGTACCACCTTTAAAAAGTATATAAGTATTAAGTATGACGATAAATATTTACTGCTGTTCTCGCACTACGTGTACTATGAACAACAAATTATTCATTTTGTACAAAATGTCTCCATACTCCTTACAACAAAATTGTTACATTTAAATTTACCTGTGTACGCTATTTTACATAACGCCATTTTGTCAAAGGTTATAGTTGTCTTTTTGACATTGTGTCATAGATCAAATTTATTCGGTCAGTGTATGTTTACTTTTATTTGTTAATAAGTCTTTTTGATTGAGTTAAGCCATTTCAATTAATATTTTATAGTGTGTCTTTATATGTTGTCATGTCACACTACTATTTCAGGTTAGGGTAAGGGTTGGTGCCAGTTGAAACGTTTAGGTCCGCTGAGTTTGTTTGCGCTTGTCCTAAGTCGGGAGCCTGTTTCAGTGGTTGTCGTTTGTTAATGTGGTTCTTAAGTGTTTCTCGTTTTTATATAGATTAATCCGTTGGTTTTCCTGTTTGAATTGTTTTACACTTAGTCCAATCATTTTTGGGCCCTTTATAGCTTGCTGTTCGGTGTGATCCAAGGCTCCGTGTTGAAGACCGTACTTTGACCTATAATTGTTTACTTTTTACACATTGTGACTTTGATGGAGAGATGTCTCATTGGCACTCATACCACATCTTCTCATTTCTATTGTAGTGTACCTGTACATGTGTTCCCTTCATTGTTGGGAATAGGTTAAATAAATATAAATACATAGATCTAAAACCCTGATGAACTTACGAAAGTACGAAATCTTATGCAGTATCTCAGTTTTAAATATGTTTATTTTGGGCATTCATTAGTTTTTTTTATATATTTTATGTAATGTTTTTATTCTTATAGTAATATCTTTTCCGATTGATAATACTAAATTTTTATACATCAATGTTTCGGAACTTTTTTTTCTGAATAAGTGTTGGATTAAAAACATATAGTATGATTTCTAGTGCACAACATATTTTGATGGAAAACACCTGCTCAAGTACTAAGCCAAGAGACAGATGCCCTTTGTCAGAAAAATTTGATTGCAAATTTCTTTGCTGCAATCCAGATGAGCCTTCTTCTGCAATGAATGATGGATATACTTACTAGAAGTGTAATGAGATGATTAAAACTATACTTTTTTTTCACTTTTTTATTCTATTTAATTGATAAATTCAACAACCTTACAGTTATCTTGATACAAAGGTTTGTTTTGAAAATTTGGCTGTACCTGTTGATAACAAACGGAAGGGCAAATCTTAATTTTTACGGTGATGTTGTTTACCGAGCCCTTGAATTTAGATACAATACGGGTAAACTAATTGATCTTTTAAATAAACTTAACCAGCATGTGCCCTTTGATTTTTGTTTTTATTGGTATAAATATTGATTTTTTTTATTAATAAATTAAAACTCAACTAAATATTATTGTTATACACTTATGAACATTCGTCCTATAATATGTCAATACTTTCATTCTGGCGTTGCACAAGGTCATATTTTTTTTCTCTGACTGTTAATGACGTCTATACACTAAATCCATTGGAAGCTGTGCTGATTGATTTTTGATTCTTAGATATATGATTTTTTTATTAGCTGTTTTTGGCTTTGAACTAGCTTTCAGTAACTGCTCATACTCTAAAATCTGTTAGTTGTTTTGCGCTTTGTATCAATCTAATGCGTATAGCCCTTTTCGACTGATTTATATAGTGTGTTCTTATGTTGTGCTGTTACATCACTGTCCAAGGTTAGGGGATGGTTGGCGCGCCTGAAATGATATTTAACCGGCCTTATCTTATAAGTCAGGAACCTGCTATTGAGTGGTTGTCGTTTGTTGCTGTTTATCATATTTGTGTTTCGTTTTTTTGGTTTGTACATACATAAGGTCGTAGTTTTCTTATATGAATTGTTTTACATTTGTCATTTCGGTGCCTTTAATAGCTTGCTATGCGATATGGGTTTTTTCATTGTTAAAGTCCGTACGGTGACCTTAACTTGCTAACCTTCAACGTCACTTGGTCTCTAATGGAGCGTTGTGTCATTGGCAATCTTACCACATCTTATTTTTTATATCACAAAAACATTCCCAAAACATGCACTAATTTTGACCACTATAGTGAAAATTGTAAATAGTACCAACTACCATTACAGTTGATGTAACGTGTTGACATACTTTTTCGCTGTTTGATCGTCTAAATGTTCAGCTAGTCTCAGCTACCTACTAGTTTCACTTCTAGATCATGTCCCTTCAATGATAAGTTATGTTTGTAATAATGTTTTTTATTTGTAATTTTGTGTTGGTAAAATTCTCTCCTTTGTGTAGAAAATTTTCCCTATTGAAACATTAGAAATACTAGAACAAATGTATGCAAATTCAAATAGAAAAATATTGTGAACATATATATTGATACTATTGGAGCTGCTGAAACTGCTGAATTATTATAAGTTTCTAAAAAATTGTGTTTTAAAATTTATAGTTTTCTCAGAAATATGTTCTTCACTGTAAATTGGCTTTGTTCTCTTTTGTCCAAATTTTTTCTACCCTTTGTGAAGATTTTCATTCAATTTTGTATCGCTACTTCTGCCCGAAGTTTACATTTGATATGATAACCCTACGCCCACCAAAAACTGTTTATTGATTTACCTTAATCAGGTACACATATAGAATGATCTAACACATCAAAACAATAACGGGTTAACTTGAACAGTCTTAATATTGGTCGAAACGGATCAAAGATACCAGGCAAAAAACATTGTACGTTACACGCGCGTTTCGTCTACATTGGCCTCATCAGTTGCGGTCGAATTGTTGGACTAGTTGGACAGGTCAATTTTATCTGATGGAGTTGCACATTCACATTACAAAGACACAATAGGGATATTTTTTTACTAGCTTTAGAATAAATCCAATAGAATTACTAGTAATGCCTTTCAAGTCAAATCCTTTCTATGCAGTTTACAAAATTGGCAAATAGCCAAATAACGATTATAAAATGTTTATTGTATAGCTTACAATACACCTCATCATTGCAATTCAAGCATAACATATTTTTAACATTGCCTTATGGGTAAATTTAAAATAACTTTTTTTCTCATATGAACCTCATATATACAATTTATTCTAAAATCTATGAACATGATGAAATAAGTCTACATTATCAGAAAATGACAAAGTCAGAACCTAGTCGAAATTCCACTCATTACAACGCTTACAAACGGATAATAAAAACTAATGGTGGATTCCTCACTACCACTTCCAAGTGATAATCCTGAAAAAATTTTAAAAAAGTCATGTGATTTTGAATAACATGAAAATGAACAATGACAATAACACTTTATATAGTTTTTTTTTAATCCAACATGTCCGAGGCGCTTTTCGGAACATATTCAGGAACGCTCGAAACCCACAAAAACCCAGGATGTATAAACTTTGAAATAATGTAATATTTTCATTATGAGGCAACCTAATTGGCATTTCTATTAATGTATCAATTTGTGCAATTTATCAAAGTTTTGTCCAAGTTCCTTTAATATTAATAGTCTGACGGGGTTCGTGTTTTGTGTATTGTTGCTGTCTTTTCGTTGTGTTACCTTTTAGTTCCACCATTTACAGTTTTGGTTGCCCTTTGGTATCCTTTCCTTTTGTATCAAAGAATGACAAAAGTTCCAATAAGGGATATTAACTACTGAGAACAGTTCTCATGATTAACTTCTACCCTTCCGAAGCACCTGAGATCACCCCAGTTTTTGGTGTTGTTGCTCAGTCTTTCGTTTTCTATGTTGTGTTTTGTGTACTTTTGTGTGTCTGTTGGTCTTTTTCTTTTTTAGCAATGTCGTTGTCAGTTTATTTTCGACTTATGAGTTTGAATGTTCCTTTGGTATTTTTCGCCTCTCTTTTATCCAAAGTCATAGATTATTACCCTTACAGTTATATCAAAATATATATAGACTGCGACAGTTATTGTGATATGAGTTTTTAAAATGGTTTTCTTTTATCTACAGATAAAAGATGTCTGTAGTGATTTCGTACGATAGAGATGTGACGAACGGTTTGATACATTTTAATACGCGTTTTAGTGCATTATTTTTCAAAATACAGTACTCATTTGAAACACTTGTCTTACCGTTCTGATAGACATTTTGAATCTTTGTATGTATTTCTATATCCCTTATACTTTTTACTAATCATAGTTTGCTTGTTCATTATATTTGCACATCGCACTATGTAACCTTTTTTATTCACAGCATAAACAAATTGCTTTTCTCGTTTTTGAGATGCTCATTCATACGTTATTATAGACATATAATTTACGAAATATTCTTTTATTCATATGTGATTTAAAAGATTTACCATTATATCTAAAAGTATTCAAATAATAACCTTTACATAAATTATGAAAAAATGTCTTTGTAATGACACTGTTCAAGGAAAGGCTGAAGATACCAAAGAGATATTCAAACCCATAAATCGAGATGATTATTATTCGGTGATGCCATATTTAAGAAAAAGAGGACCGTATTTTGAAAAATACCATTAGACAGATATTCAATTATCATGATAACGGTTAACCAACTCTTGACGGCTTTCGTACAATTTTCGCGCTGATGACTTTAATTTAACTATTTGGAACCCTTGCTATATTTGTATTTACGTTTGCCCTTCTTTTTTCAGAAAAGGTTAGTCAAGACCAATAAGCTAAATCTGTCTTTGCGTTTGGAATGAAGAATACTTGTTAAAGTGTAGAAAAGTCAAAATCTATTGAAAGATGAGAGACTAAGGTTGTTTTTACTCTAGCATTTCTTTTAAATTCAATGTCCATATCACCCCAAAAGATGTAGAGTACGTAATTGCACAAGAACTCTGAAGCTTGGTTTTAATTTGATTGCTTAAATAATTGAAATTAATAGATAGGAAAAAAGTTTCATGCAGTTGTTTGTAAGGAGACTTATTTGACTAAGGTATCAAATACTGTGAAGTAAGATCCAATTCTGTTTCATTGTTTGGCATTGCAAAGAACAGAGAACAAACTATTTGGTAGGTGTCATGATAAATTATGTTGAGTTTCCAAGTAAAATGTCAATACCTCATATCTTTTTCAAACAGTTTATGTAATGTGACTTCCAAAAAACCCATCTTGTTTGGGGCTTTGTCTGTTGGACAACAACATCATCATAAACAGTATAATATGTATACCTATATTAATTTGGTTAATTTGAGTTGCAGCATCTTCCAACGTTATTGGTGTTTGCTCCATTGTTGTTCCAATGTCTATTAGTACAGTATTTATCGGAGACTCGGATGCCGTCAATGATAATGTTGTTGTTACTTTAGTCGTTGTTGTTTCTTTTACCATTGCTGTAGTTTCAGCAGTCATCGTTGTTGTTCTGTCAGTCATTGTTGTTTCACCAATCGCTGTTGTTGTTTCGCCAGTCATTGTTGTTGTTTTGCCAGTTGTTGTTGTTTCGCCAGTTGTTGTTGTTTCGCCAGTTGTTGTTGTTTCGCCAGTTGTTATTATTGCTTCGCCAGTCATTGTTGTTGTTTCGCCAGTTGTTTTTGTTGCTTCGCCAGTTGTTGCTGATGTTTCGCCAGTCATTGTTGTTGTTTGAACTTCGCTTGATGTGGAGAATTCAGTTGTATCAGTTCCGACTAAAGAAACAGGAATACACCTATTTAGGAATCTATCAGATTGTTTTTCATTTGTAATATCGTAATATTTGTTACTTATATAAGTTGATATATGTAGATCTTTGATAACCTAAACTTGTAATCATTACTTTTTGAAGACTACGGAACTTGTTCGAGAAATTATTGTGTTGTACAGACCCTTGTCTAAGGTGGAAATTATGTGTTTATTTTTTAGCGTCATGTGAATGTAAGTGTCATAATGTTGCAGTAATTTGTCAATTTGACCCATATCTCATTTCATATGTGTCTATAAATCTAAAAAAAAAATATATATATTATTTTTCCTTAAATTAATCAATTCATTTTGCAAACAAAGGTTGCTCGCAAGACGTACTGTATTTAATAACGAACAAATATCGGCTACTTGCAACATGTCACACTTGTCAGATAACAGAATTATTTATTCATTTGTCATTCCAAGGCGTTTCTTCTTTATATACATAAAAGGTAATATAAGGGGAAACACGCCAGGTAGTGAGTAACCCTTTGCAAAAAAAACCAAAAAGACATTAAAAGGCAGCATACAGGTTTCCGTTCAGTCACTTTTAGTTGCTTAAATCTACATAATTATGTCTCTGGTTGATAATTATCTTATTGTCAATCATTCCATATTTTCATATTTTTTTTAATTCAACAATACATTAGTATTTATTCAACGTGCTAATATGTAAAGCTTTAAATCGTCCAGAATTAATATAAAAACAATCAACGATCTGCTATGAAAAAGTAAAATAACAAAAACTCACTTCTTCAAATAACGAAAAAAAATTTTAAAAAATTGTAGTGTGACTGGCAAGATGCCTTTCTTCTTTTTTTTTTTCTTTTTTTTTTTTTTTTGCCTTTCTTTCCACGCGCGTTTGAGCAGTGTCGATGTAATTGAAAATCAAACACAACAACATAAAGAGTAGAGGTCAAACGAGCAAGTTATCATTTAGAAATTGCGTAAAAATAAATATATTACCAGTACTTTGTCGGAAACCTATTTATTTACAGAGTAATACGACAAATAATTTTCTACCACAGACTAATTACTATCGTAATTTTTTTTTTAATAAAATTTCAAATAGAAAGAAACACTATTGTAATACTGTGTTATAATTCAATCAAGAGCGGATTTATTCTCGGCATGATAATTATACAGAAATTATAGCGTACATCTTTCCAATTTATATGGATGGATTAAAACGAAAGTTCAGAAAAATTTGGTAAAAGGTTAGTGTTAACGAGGATGAAATATAAATGACATTTTTATAAATGCCAACATCTTCAGAATTGTATGTATGTATTGTCACGAATTGATATTACTTCATGTGGCTTTTTAGCGTCATTTTGATAGACAATTAGTATAAATTATGTCAAATTCGCAATATCCTTCCAAAAATTGCAGCAATTTGTAGATTTTAATTAAACTCACCAATATTTTATCAAATAATTATGTTTATGTTTTTTGATAATGGTTTAAAAAGTTTATGTTTTTACTCTGTCATCCTAAATATTAAAACGGATATAAGTTTAAGTAGTTTAGATTGATACATCATCAACCGTGCAGAAAACATTTTCCTAAATTATATGTTGACAGCATTCATTATTGTATGTACTGCATGGTATTGTACAGTTGATACACACACACACGAAAAAGTCGGAAAAGGATTATTCGTTTAATCTTTCATCTTGATTTTTGCAACAGATATGTTTTAAAAGTCCTTTAAAATGATCATGAACTGTGCAAAGGATTTACTTCTAATGTCAATTGCTGACAGCATAGCTGAGTCAAATATCGATTTTTAAACGACTTTACATAAAAAGTCATGTAGCAACTGTGGAGATATATAAATACTGTGCAGAGTAATAAATAACACTGAAAGTCGTGGTAAACAAAATGTTACGCGATATTCTAATCGACGTAAATTGCAGGAAGTACTTTTGAATTTCTTTCTAAAATTGCTTGCTTCTTCTTAGTTCTAGCTTGGGATTGAAATCAACAATTTGCAAATACTTTTATAACAATTTCTAACAAACGATATCGTAATCTGAAAAAAAAACAAAAAAGAGTAAAAAACGCCACACATAATGTCTAATGTTTTACTCACAACAAGTAATTAGGAAAACGAGGACACCATAGGCTTTCAGCTTGATTGAAATCTGAAATGACAAGAAAGATAATGATAAATTACCTTTTATTGCAAAAAAAAAGGATATAACTGGCGATAAGGGATTTTTAAAACGACAATTGGAATAAAACAATGGTAATCTTTTACACAATGATTCAATTATGACTAACCATCTCATGATGACGTCCGTAAAGAATTTCAAGGGATTAATATAAAAAAAAACCTTTGGTCCAATAGCTTCCTTGTGAGGAGCAACCTTCTGACAAGGACATCGTGCTCGGTATTAACCAGGAGATACATATTTAAATACTCCAGATGATGATGCTGCCTAGATGTTGCTTCATAGAAAAGGAAAGTTCACAATTGGAAAGCTGAAATTATGCTTACTGTCACAATTGTTTGTTCTTAATCAACCCTCACTGTAAATTTCTAGATGCAAGTTAATATATGAGTCAGACTTAAATGTATCTGGTGTATTCTATATCTTGATTACATCAATATAAATGGGTTTAATACCGTCACCAAAGAGATATGTAGTGTAAGAACATATACTGATCTTACTTTGGACTGAACAATTAAAATGATTTAAATAATAGATTAACTTCTTAAGTTAAAATTTTGTTCTAACAAAATCCTTTTATAATGATTGTTGTTTTGTATTTGTTTTTGTTTTATCTCCAGGTCGTGAATGCCTACAAACAAGCAGATCCCAAACAAAAAATAAACTCACTATAGATACCATGATTAAAAGTGTGTACGTCATACGCGCGTTTCGTCTACAAAGACTCGTCAGTCACGCTCGAATCAAAAAAGTAAAAAGACCAAATAAAGTACGAAGTTGAAGTGCATTAAGGATCCAAAATTCCGAAAGGTTTTTGCCAAATACAGCTGAGGTGATCTATTCCTGGGGTAGAAAACATAGTGTCACACCATTTGATCTTGTCATTAAACACGATATGCAGCTTCATGGTAGTATGACTTTTCACTGAATTTATTGAAAATAATGATGGATCAAAACAATCAATGTAAGATATAAGTGTTTCCTGACTATCGTTCCTAAAACATAAAGATGAGATACCAACTGGAAAATATGAAGTTAAGGTTCATAATGGTCGAAATATATTAAGTCATTATAATGCTTAGTATTTGTTAGTTTTATCACACAAGAAACTCACCATTTCGCCTCCAGATCAGACTGACGTGACGCGGAGCACGTTTAAACATATATATAACATGTTGTTGTTTATTTTGTCATGTTTCATTTCACGTAATTTTATAGCATTGCATCCGTTTAACTATCAAATAACGATTGTGTCATTCTATAAGATTCTGATCGGGATCTAACGTTTCAAGTAATAGGATAGTCAATAATCATTTAAAGAATTCATTAACATAGTTTAAAAGAAACATTGTCGCTGAAATTTGAGAATTGTATCTTAAATTGATCAGCAACTTCCTCGGGGGGTAATACATTGTTATCCTGCAACATCGTCATTATACTAAAACGATAGAACATGTAGAAGATGGTCTGATTTCCAAATGAATGCGGTAAATATTGTATTCATATTCATGACGATACAATTTTTATATTTTATAATCAAGAATCTTGTTTGTACTTGAATATGTTGACCGACATACCAAAGTCGAGTGTTCAAATACTTGCACACTTCTAAATATTCAATCTTTTTTATTTTATTGTTGTTTGTCTCCCAACCCAACGTGACATAGTGAATGTTTGTCCAGTCTGTTTTGTGAGTTTTTTTTTCTTTCCGTACGTCTGTGCCACACTGGTTTATTGATATCTATTGACAAACAAAACCTCTGTTATATATTAATATAATCTTAGTTGACCGTTCTATACTCCTTTTTGCTTTTGACCTTTTAAGGAGCTATTGGACTTTGACCATTGTTGGCCTATTGTAACAAACAAAAATGTAATGATGTCATTAAAATATTTACTCCTCAATCAATTTACTCAAAATGTGCTTTTACCATTTCGTCCTTTTGTAGTATCAGAACTATGTGAATGCTGCTCCTTTGAGAGCATAGGTCCGGCAATTTTCGTACTTGATAGAACTGGTTTGATCATCTTGTTAGTTTGCATTAATAGTTGACCATGTATATACGATTTCATATTTACCATTAATTTATTTTCACAATATGAAGAAAGACTTATTGACAAAAATAATACTTTTAGCAAGGCTGGACAGTGGTCAGAAAAATTGTGATGTTGGTCAACGCCTTCACACACCCAAAAATTTAAATAAAATTTACAAAACTAGACACATATTAATTATATACAAAGTTGTTTGGCGTTTTTGTAAGTAAACTATATACACAATCTTAATTTATCCTATATTCAAAAGCATTATCGCCTATACGTTGTGGCTCACTACTCTTGTTAATATAAATGAATTTTCCCCAGTCTTTTAACTGGAATGTTTTCACAGTTATAGATCGTTATATACAAGAGTAGTTGTCTGATCTGCAAAAAAAAACCGATTGTGTCTAATTCATATTTCGATGTTATTACTGATTGTGGATTCACATAAAGGTGATGTATACTTATCAGGATAGGATTACCCTGTCGACGCTACCGGTCTCGCTCAGTCTCGAGTTCATGAGAATTCTGTTTATCTCACTTTGATTTGTATAGTATAAATGATTTTACGAGGTTTTGACATTGGTGAATTACTGTTGACTTAAATTTACCTCCATTCATATTACAAATGCGTTCAAATGAAATAGATAATATAACTGTATTTTTAAACACTGATATGTCATGTTATACTGAGGTCATTGAGGAATTTGAGATATCTCTATACTTTTTATGAAATCTTTTTAAATACCTCATTAATTAAAGGGATATATCTGTTTTTTTCTGAACGTATAGATTACAGCGATTTCCAGATAAGATTATCACAATATGCTTTTTCTAAATATCTTTTTTTATTGTGTAACTTTGACAGATCATGACATCTGATTGGTCACGCGTACTTTGCACTTAACTGGGAAGTGGATAACATTTTTTTTGCGGTTGGTGGTCAGGAATTTAATGAAGATAAATACAATATATATACATTGTTGCATATATAAATCTATTTGTACGATGTTTTAAAAAAATATTTCAAACAGCATGATTTAAATTTAGAACCATGAGAAAAGAATGACCGCTTAGCTTGACTCCTAACAATTACAAAATACATGTAACATCATATAACGATACTAATTATTGATATTTTTAATAGATATAAGAATTAGAGGATGTGGTATGATTGCCAATGAAACAACTCTCTACCAGAGACCAAATTACATAAAAGTTAACGGTAGCAAGTTATTTCGTACCTTGAACATTTCGTAACGCTGCCATGTCGTACCTACAATTACCATTTCGTACCCAACATTGACCATTTCTTTCCCAACATTTACCATTTCGTACCCATGAGCAAAACCATTTCGTACCCTATGAGCCAACTGCATTAACCATTTAGTACCTCATAGACTTAACACATGTTTACTATTTCATATCATACATATTTGTAAATCATTGAAATTATGTCCCAACATCGGTATTTGATTTTGAAAAACAAAAATGTATAATTCAAAAAAGGAAAGATCATTCATACTGCCCTATTATAAGTTTTTAAAATATTTAATATTCAATGCATACTGTGTCTTAACTGTTTTTATAGTTATAAACAGTTATTTTGACGTGAAATTCAGTGAAATGGGATATTCACTCAAGAAGAAAGCCATGAATAAAAATGTTTGCATAAGAATTTGCACCTTATGTGACCAATCGAAAAACTTGCTATAGCTTTTTTCAATTTGAGAAATATTGCACGAAATGGTATACATATACATGTAAATCTTTGGTGAGGTACGAAATGGCACACATACATATCTTCCGTGAGGTACGAAATGATATACGTATAAATATTCCATTAGTACGAAATTGCCTTCAAATAAATATTCCATGAGGTACGAAATGGCACACATATATAAATATTCCATGAGGTACGAAATGGCATACATATAAATAAATGTATTTCATGAGGTACAAAATGGCATACATATAAATATTCCATGAGGTACAAAATGGCATACATATAAATAAATATATTTCATGAGGTACAAAATGGCATACATATAAATATTCCATGAGGTACGAAATGGCATACATATATAAATATTCCATGAGGTACGAAATGGCATACAGATAAATATTCCATGAGGTACGGAATGGTTTTTATAAGGGTACGAAATGGTTAGGGTACGAAATGACTATAATTCAAGTTAACAACTATTGGTCACCGTACTTCCTACAACAATGAGCAAAACTCATACCGCATAGTCAGCTATAAAAGGCCCCGAAATTACAAAATAATATATTACAATTCAAACGAGAAAATTAACGTTCTCATTTATGTACAGAACAATGAACGAAAAACAAATATGACATACAGCATCAAACGACAACCACTGAATTACAGGCTCCTGACTTTGGACAGGAACATACATAATGTGGCGGGGTTGAACTAGATTGCTGGCAATAAAGTCCGTTATCCTAGTTACGACTTATGTTAACTTATTCTTTAAGGTTATCAATTCAACTTGTGTAACATTGTAATTAAAGAAGATCTTTAAATATTGTCATTATTAGTATTAATATTGATAGTGTTAAAATTAATTAAAACATAACTAAATATGTATTGCTGTACAGAAATGAACGCTTACAGTCCGACATCATCTTGATACGTATGTTTTTCCGTTGCAGAAGATCATGCTTTAATCAGTCCACGTGTGGCGTATTTACAATAAATCCGTGGAATGTTAACAGATTAACGTTTAAGCCTTGAAATACTTAATTGTTGTAATTGAGTTTAAATAGCTTGCAGTTACCGAGAGTACTCTAAAATCGGTACTATGTGTCTTTTGTCTTTTCGTTAGTTGTACTCGTGCCTAGCTGATTAGTAAAGTCATTTGAAATTATTTTTCATAGTTTCTTCTTATGTTGTGCCTTTTATGTTTAAAGGGAGAGTTCCTTTTTTTTTAGAAAGATGGAACGTATGATAAGTTTATTATGCACTATAAACCGATAAAACGATACTTTATCTATAAGAAAACGACCCGTGTAGCATGAATCCTCAGTTTTATATGGACCGTTGAGAAATAAGTGTGACTACATTGTATATCCTCATATCGAATTATCCGATAACAAGTTGATGAAAGAAAAAAGAGATGCGTCAACATAAACTTAAATTCATAAAGCAAACTTTAACATCAGAAAATATAATACAATTTTCGGTCATCTATAAATAGATAGTTTTATATTCTTCACCTAGCTACTAGTAGTAGTATATATAGAGATGAATAGATGTTTAACTGATAGAAAAAAGATATTTTTATGACAATGTATTATGATACAAACAATCCCGTGCAAAATACTTAATGATATTTCCTAAAGAACTTTATTATAAAAACTTTATAATGAAAACAATATATTAATCCTTCTTTACGAAAAACTTTAAAAAAAAGAATCAGATGATACAAAAGGGAATGCGCAATATTTTGTTCTATTCAAACATACATTTAGCTCTCTTTACAATACACTTCAATACTATTAACACAACCTTGATTTTGGTTCTGAAACTATAAAATGCTATTCGTCCTGGAACATCTGTTCACGAATAAAAATAATGTCAAAACATTCATGCCGAACATATAATTTTTATTATCATTAATTGTAAATCCAAATGAGAAAATCAACGGCATGTTTATCGTACAAATAATAAACGAAAAACAAATTTGACAAACAGCAACCAACTACAACCCTTGAATAACAGACTCCTGACATGGGTCAAGTACGTACAGAAATTCGCGGAGTCTACTTATCTTTCAATTCGCATAATTGATTGTTTTATAATTTAATCCTGGTAAAACGAGATATTGTAGCTTAAAATATGATCAGTGACAGGAACTTTAAAATAGCAAATTATGAGATACCTTTGTCATTTTTTTTCATATCCCCAAACTACCTTAACTAGTTCAGTTGAGCAGTTCGATGAACTGATGCACTGATCTGTTGAATAAATGATAAAAATAAGTATGCAGAATAAAGAGAAGTCATAAAAGGTACTTAATTTAATTGTATCGGCATCTTAAAAACAATAGTTCCTTTTAATAAAAACAAATATTAAACATTTGAGAATCGGGTTCGTCTTTTTGTAGTTATATGGGGTGCAAAACATGTGTATAATGTTTGTTCAACCCTATATAAGACTACAAAAAGAATCTATTCAATTCTAATAACTTCAATTC